CCTCGACCGGGTCTAAAACCAGCCTGGTTCTCACGCGTGCACCGGTCGCGTTCGGCAGACAATCGGCGGAGTATGATGCAGGAAGTAGTCCGGTTTATATCCAACAACGCTCACTTGAGGGACGGACAGAATATATTAACACAGCTCACCTGGCCCCCGTCGACAATTGAAAGGTTTAAGTCGATCATTTGATCAATGTTTGTGTTGTAAAGAGTAACACTCGCGCATCTACTCAATTTCATGGCAAAATCCATCTTCCTAAATTTTCTATTCCCACATTGACCCTGTTTGGAACGTTCCAATCTTCTAATATTTCAACCAAATGGGCAACGACAACCATCGCGCACTTCCGCGAGGTTCATGTTGGTATAAACTGTCAACTGAAAACAGATGAATGCGCCAAAGACATCAAAGATGTCTACAAATTAACTGGCGCCAAACAAATGGTTGTCAGTCATGATGACATCTCAATAAGGATTGCCTGGTTGAGAAAAATGATCAGAGTTTCTTGCAGTATTTGATAACAATACACTATTTTGTGTAGGGCTAGAACATGAATCAAACGCGCGTTGATTACCGAGGGTCGAATTGGAAGAAGCTTTTGGAACACGAGTGAAAAGGAAGTGAGAAACAAACCGAAAACATGTACGAAATGAACTGTATTGACAACCGCACACTGTACATAACTGCAATCAATTCTCATGCCAGTTTTCAAAAGATATCAGTACGGTTCGAAGGCCTATGATACAGGGGGAGAAATGGCGTTTGGAGAGCGCGTACAACATAGGCGTCAACGGATTGGATATTGCGGATTTCGGCCATGCGCGATCAGTCGATAAGTTTTTTCAATCGATTCAAGGCAGAGACCCATTCACTGAAGAAATAAAAAACAGATAAACGGTCCATCAAAAAGCCAAACCGTCCAGAGGATAACAATGCATGAACCATAGAGGTTAGGAGATCCTAGGCTTACAAGAGATTTCATGATTCCGATGAATTCTTCCGGGGAAGTTCAGCGTTTCGACAATCATGGTTCATCACGCTACGGTCACTTGCCTCCCAAAACGATGAGCACGTAATTTACGCGAGGTGAAAATGCCCGAGGATTATGAGAATTCACTCACTAACTCTCTCTCTCTCTCTCGGGATCATCACTTCCAGTTGATAAGTGAAACAAACGTAGAAGTTATCGTTATTGTTAGGATCTTGGCGACAGACATAGATGGCTTAAATGTTCATCCTACGCTTATAAAAACAATCTGATTGCATGAGAATACACACATATTGAAGTTATGTAAACCAGTGATTGACAAACTCGCTCTCTCTCAGAGTCTATCGTCGTACAGTGGAGAGTTTAGGAACAAAAACTTCTCGGAGCGGAATTTCGACACAGGCCGACACGCGAAGCGAAGGAGTTTGGGAATAGCTAGGAGAGCTCGAGCAGAAATGATTTTTTCAAACCTGATAGTGAAACAACTAGATAGGGTTCAGCGGGTACTACAATCGGGTTGTATGCACGAACAGTAAACTTATGACATGTTTTCAATGAATGTGGACCAAAAGAATCCAGATTCAACGTATTCGAACGAAGTGTTGTGCAACGGTGAATTATTACGGATTAGTATTCCACATAGAATAAAAAGTATCTGCCGAAATGTTGTTCTTTTAGGCAATGGGAGTCCGAAGCCATTGCAGGAAATCAATGACTGACAAACCCCGGAAGCAAACGTGCAGAAGAAAATCAAAGTTCTCATCAAAACGAAACACTGAAACAGGTTCTGTTTACCGTTCTGCGGTAGCTCCGCCCAATTGACCAGACCCGTTAATGCATCGATCGAGAAGTTGTGCGAGAAACCGTTTCAACTGAGCCAAAGGATCCGCGATGAGCGGATTGAGTTTCTGCGTCTCCTCGCAAGACCGTTCCACCTTCACAGGATTCGCGTTGGCCAACCAGTCGTGTGGGATCAAGTCCACAATTTCGGAAAGACGATCGCATACATACTGGTATGTGGCTGCGACTTGGTCGGCACCCCCCGGTGGTGCATTCTTCCCCTCGTCCGAGCTTGGTTGGGATCCACCACTGGTTGGTGTGAGGACAGACAATGAGCTGGCCAGACCAACAAGCAAATAGCGATTGACGAGACAGGTCAGACTGACGTGTTGTAGAGCCTCGTCACTGATCAGATTGTGCCACAGGAGGATATTCTTCAGTAACTAGAGAGAGAGAGAGGATCAATGTTTAAGCGATCACTAATCATGAACGTGCGCATGTAGTAAGTATATTGGAGCCATGCACACTGATTCAAGAACAGAACGGGGAGGCTATTGAGGTAGACAGATCACGAGGAGACTGTAACTTGACATCAAATGATGGCTTATGCACCTTTGAAATCCAATGAATTTCACAGGATAGCTTCTGACAACTCGCAAGATCTAATTGAGTCTGACAGTAGAAACATCAAACGAAATCCGCCTTTTCAGGTTGGAAGTTTGACTCGAGTTTTTGTCTCACTCAATGAAAATGCTGGATCAATAATGAATCAAGCAAATCAGCACTTAACTCATTTACTGGCTGTCTTGTGGCTAGGTCCATTTTTAGAACTAAAGGACCGGGGCTTCAAGCTGTAATTGTTCCACCGCTTAGTAGCTGGACTCCCTTGCCACACCTATTTCCTAAACTCTAATGAGAACTCGACAAACGATGTAATTCGGGTGGCTTTCGACCGTGACAATATCTCTATTTGTCACGTCTACTAAACAAAATAGTCTTAATCCCGATATGAATTTTACCCGGTTTCGGTAATTTTTCGTTAATCTAATCCGATTATAGACATGGGATTCAATGTGAAACAAAAATCTCTCGGCTATTGGGATGAATTCATACAGTGAATCCCGTGTATAACTGCGGGAAGTGATGTGATTCGCCGTTGTGAAACAGCTGACGAAGAGTAAAACGGAAAAACTATCTTATTTAGTTTTGGACGTTCATATCTTGTTTCCATCGGAAAGAAGAATAATGAGTTCAGAAGAATTAGCAATGCAAACCCAGGGCCTCGAAATGGCGCATAACATGACGTTTCGATAAGCATGTTAAGGACTTGGGTGACTGTGAAGCCATCTAACATTAAAACCTAATGGGAGTGGCAGGATATGAATCACGAACCTTGAAGGTTCGTGATGTGCTTGGGGCACACCAATGATAACAATTCTAACCGAGTGAGCATTACGGATGGGTGAACAAATGGTTTTTCCAGCTATTGTATTACGGTGTTAAAGCCTAATGATACATTTTTTCAAATTTTTACTTCCTTTTATTGAATACACAATGACAACTTTCAAGAAGGGGAAAACGGCCGATCAAAGAGCTGCCATACGACACACAACGGGTAAGTTTAGTCGAACAGATCACCATCATGGAACGCATGACCTATGAAATCGACCATGCCTTTGCCAAATTGGACCACGTTAATTAATTTGTGGTATCTATTCGTGACAATTGTTTGCTGAATAAATTGTAATGAATACACACACAATCAATCAATTTCGTGTGTGCATAAGACCCACAGTCTAGAATTACCGTTTTATTCAGCAAACAATTTTACAAGGGGCTGAAAAGAGGAAAACAGGTACACAATCGAAAACGGACTGCACAGTGATACAAAACAAATGCAAACGGTTTAACATGAAAAACTGAAAGTAAGTTTGAGTGCGGCAAATGACTAATGTGCGGGGCTAATACGTGTCTTAATCAGCGAGACATACACATCTAAATTCCGTGAGACAACGAATTTTCCTTCGAAACATTCCTCACGTCACGAGGGCTGATATCAGTTGCTTATCCGAACACTATCTCGCCATCTAACTGTCAGAAAACCTGGAGTCAATGGATCTTTTCTACACCGCTGTCTACACTGCATTGCGCGAGTCTCCAAAGGTATCCTGACAGGCAATAGTGAAGTGGAGTGGAGAGTATTCGGTAGTCGTGGTTGCCCACTGAGCAGGTGGCTCCATCAATTACATTGTTGGGGATTGTGTAAAGCATATTATCGGGTAGATCACCACCGCGAGCGATGTTCTGTTTTTCGAGGTAGGTAATGATTGGAAAGAAGTGAAGATCAGCCAAACTAAAACCTGAAAGGTAGGTATGAAAGCACTGGTCAGGAAACTGTGACACGTAGGTCACATCAGGAATCCTGGATGAGGACCTCAAGATCAACGAAATCGGAGATTCGGAACAGCGAGTAGTGAAGATGAGTGCATCCCTATATCTATCTGTCTATCTATCCATCTATTCACTATTCAGATTTGTACACTGCTCAGCATTCATCCAATGAGCATAATGTGTTTCTTGACTCCACTTGAAGACTATACGGCGACTGGTTGCAACAAGGCCTCTTGGTCGCAAAAGCCTTTGTGCAACTTAGCGCATGTGAACAAACGAAAATCGATTGCAGTCTGTATAGCACTGCGATAGATAGCGTACATTTACACAGGAAAGAGAACGATCAATACCCTTGTGAATACTGGGGATGAGGAAGATGAGGTAGCCTAAGTAACCACTAAAACTCTCCCCATCTCCTTCTGCAGATTAAAGTTGATCGTTTACCATCGTTGACCTCTTAAACATACATGTGGGTAGCACGACAGAGAAATGAAACAGAACTGACTCACCTTCATCCCAACACGGAATTGCCTATCGAAAAACTGATAGGCTGAACCTTGTCGATTTTGCATCAGGCTACAAAGTAGAGCAGATAAGATCACGTTAGAATAAAATGCGCACCACCGACAAAATCTATTGAGAAAACAAATTTACGGTTAAAACAGGTCGAGTCGGACTGCAACTAAATTATCCCAATTAATATTATACTCACCGGACTGAACCCGTAAACGGGTCTCCATTTTAGGATCTGTGGTGGTAAAACTAGAGACTTGAATAACTCTATTTTTCTGTCTGGTTAATCTACACCCTTTCAACGTTTTTTTAAACACGAATAGAAATCGCTTGCATTATGATTGTAAGCCAAGTGCGAATTCGCATCTCCATTGATTAATCAGCTGCGGACACTTCCATCAAATTTGAGTTTTTTCCTAATGCATGCGATCATGCTCATACTGTGTTTGTCACGTGTGATGAAAATGAGAGCTTGTAATTTATCCGTGAGGGGAAGACAATGCATCACATCTTAAGGTGTATATTAATCCTGAACGGAATGTCATTTCACGACCCAGCAGGAACAATGAAGTTCAGCGGAATCGGTCACTATATCGGGTAGGTGAAGGTGATTCTTTCAAATTCCATAATCCGTTGACACCAGGATGAGGGCTTTTATACCACCGACAGTGATGTTGTACACATCGTCACATTCGTGAAACAGTTGTATACAGTGTCAGATTTCACTGGTCATTATCTCAAGAGTGATATATGTCAATATTCAAGGAGGTGGTTCGCCGATCACAAAATAATGACCAAGCTAAACGGGGAACGACGTCGGCAATCATTCAACTCTATTAAAAATGTCGATGGCCCTTTCGTTAGAGGCGAGGAAACTCTCGGGGGTCCGAGAAGAAACGTGAGAAATTTATATACGAACGGAACAAGCCGATGAATTTACCGACACAGAAACAAAGATTGACATTCCGATGTAAAAATGACAAGTTAGCTTGAATAATAGTGACCAAGACATTTTTGCTAGCACTGTACTTCAACCATTGTAAGCCACACCTGATTAGTGCTGTCATCAGAAGCCGGCTAATAAGTAGAAGTTTGTTTCGCAGACCCACCGTTTCAATTGATCTTGATCTAAAGGCATCCTCGGATTCAGTCGATCACACTGGACCCCAACGATGCTCTTCCTTAAAGGGTCCACTACTTTTTCACTATAACGGCCTCTTCTCAATAATAACCAAAGTCTGATTCACGCTTCTGATCTCTTTTTCACTCGACTTTAGAATAGCTAATGGTGTTACACACTCTCTCCTCTTTTCTCTCTTCAACTTTGTCATATATGATTTTGGAAACGACACTAACTTTGGTCGAAGATTGTGACATCAATGGACCTTTAGGTAGGTATTGACAGCCCCTATATCTCGCTCTAACACGGGAGAATATAAACAACGTAGACCGATTTTACTATTAGGGAAGCTATATCTAATCTGTTGGTTGCAACATAGATTAAGTCCCGAACGTATACACAACGCTGTATTTACAATAGCACATACACTTCCGATGCCGCCATAACATTTGGCTGCCCGTGAGGGGTCGAATGCTGCAGGTGACTGCTATGGTGAGATACATTGCTGCTTTTACTACTCATTTAGTGAGATGAACAGCAGACGGGGTGAACCCTATAGTAGCATGGAACCATTCTGTGATGGAACGTGGTATTCTAAGACTTGGAGTGGCGAACCATATAAGGCCCTGGTAGATTAAGTGTAGCACTGAACAGGACTATAACTAAGATGCCTACGAAAACCAACATAATGGTAGGTTGATGGTGTTTGTGCACCGATGTCTCTAATACATCACTGGAATCCGGTGGAGCAACCGGATGAATGATGCCGGGGTTCGAAAAATGGTGGGAAAAATAGCAGAGAAAAACCACTGCACACTGAGATCAGAACAAATGTTGACATCTCCGACGAGGCCTTTGCATTCCGCAGTGTTGTTTCAAAATCCTGTCCAACGGATTATTGCAATCTACCCCAGTTATTAAATGTTATTTGTCGGAGTCAATTCTTCATGCTACCATAGCTACCAGTAGTGTGCAAGTAACGATGCCTGTCACTAAATATCATTACGACACAATGAAATCCCTACACTCTAAAATCCCCAATCCAGAAATTGCTGCTTTGGGAGATCCATGTACAATAAATTCAGACGAATTTAAAAAATCTCACAAGGACACCGCAGTGGTTGGTAAGTGGCTTCATGTAAGAGAAATCTCTCCCAGATGTGCATTCTAATCTTTATTAGCAACAATGTCCAGTCGCTGTTTAGAAATTTCGTAGACGTCAGGTACCTCGTTCGAAATCGAGAATATTTGCAACTAGATTTTTCTTCAGCAGACATGGCCACATCAGCAAATAGATGATCAGAACGTTCAACCTGATGGGTTCACAGCTTACCGCGTAGATCGTTCCGTCCCGTTTCAAAGGGGTGGAGGAGGTATTATCACATATATTAGGGATGTCTGGTGCAATAATTGCACTATTCAGTCCGGTCAATCCACCTCCCATAGAAGCGCATACATTCTTGAATGCAAATTCAGATATCTAAGCAATTAACAGTCACTTATTCTGTCAATCAAATACATCTCCCCTAACTGCCCCTCAGATGAATTTTTCCAGTTTTCAAATTCTTTCGCTGTTGTTTTCATGACTCATATAGACGTTTCTCTTTGTATAGTGAGGGGTGATTTTAACCACTATGACACAAGGTTTTCAACTATATGAAGTTTAAAAAAATTAGTCACGCTTCCTACAAGATTGAACACTACCCTGGATTTATTCTTTGTAAACAACTCTGAAATGTTTTCATTTTCCTGTAGTTCTCCTGTTGGGTCCTTTGACCATGTTACTATTAAGATTTCCACCAAATTTTTCCGCTCAGTTAACCACAAACATTTCACTCGTTGCCAAGACCGTAAGCTTAGGTGATAACTATACCGCGAAAATATTAGGGAATTCAAGGACATGGTTGCTTTCACACACATTTCCGTATTTACCAACCCAGATATATCTACTTTCTGTCTCCACTTAACTGACTATCTCAACTTCTGTTTTGATATCAGCTGTCCTTGGGAAACACTACATCATATCTCATCGTTTTTCCTTCCACTTTCTGAAACAACTGCGTTGAAAAAAGTAACGTGCGTTTAATCTAAAGACTAACATTTGAAGTTCGCCGTCTTAAGTTCGTTTACGCTCAACACACTCCTCCAAACGAAGGCCCTCGAGAAACCTAGTGAATGTTCAAGCAGTTTTGTGGTTCTTCTGTCAGAGGGCACTCTCGGTCCATGGATAATGAAGATATAAACCACGAATTCATCAAATTAGCTAACTCCAGGTTTGCTGAAAGGTTTGAGTCTCTCCCCCCTCCCAGTTCTTTACACTACGTTTAATTGTGTTCAAGGAATGCGCTAATGCTGTCACCTACCTGTCCACAATCTTCAACCGCTGTTTCCCACTGTTCAATACCGGATTGCTAGAGAAGAGCGAGCATTAAACCAATGCCAAAGAAAGGTTCTACTAAATTTCGTCCGAACTTCAACCACCCTGAACTTATTTGAAAGGAAAATTTTACGCAAGTTGCTCCCGCAGTTGAGCATTGCTGATGGTGATCAATTTGCCTACTGTCGTAAACGATCTACCATTGATGCTCTAGCTTCCCTAGTGCATTTTATTCTGTCATCGCCCGATAACAAATGCAAAGCCGTAAGAATGCACTTTGTAGACTATAGTGACTCATTTGGAAGTGTTGATAGAGTTCAGCTTCTGTTTATTCTGGCAAAGCATGGAGTCCCACCGCCTACTGTTTCCCTTTTAAATGACCACTTTTTTCTTCGAAAACAGCCTACACGTTGCGGGGGTCTCCTCAGCCGTAGCTTCCGAATTGGGAGTTTTTCAAAGAGCCATTTTGTCTCCTTTCTTCCTCTACACTTACTTAGCTTACATGCCTATTTGCAAAGACACCTTGCTGACAAAATATGCTGATGACGTTACTTCTGGCTTACCCCATCCCAGCAACCCATTTTCTCCATTTTCCAACTTGATATATCATAACTTGAAGAGCGGTCTTCTGCAAAAAAAGCTTTCTATGAACCCATCTAAATTTGTTGATGTTTTATCATCTTCCCGTAAGGGGTAAATCATGTTCTGATTTTCTTGAGACGTGCCAGCCGCTATTCATTATCGATAAACCCCTCAGTCGGGGAAAATCAGTTATTCTTAACCATTCTCTTGCTTGATCTGAGCATATCAATAATGTGTTTGCAAAATTCAAGAGACTTTCTTGTTTCTCCTTACGCCTAAGGAAATTATCGATTCCTTCCCATCGGATAAACAGTTTGTTTATGCCTGCATCTTACCTCGCTGGCTCCATGCTTTCCTAGTAATTTTTCCTCGGTTATAACAAAAAGATATGTGTAATGTCTAGGTCACTCAGACATTTATCCATGTATGGTTTTGGATACTGGGTTTTATTAATACAATCTAATAGGAACTGAAGAACAGTGTTCGCTTCAGCACGTCTTGTGAAGTGATTAAAGAACTGATTTAGTCGTTTCACCACGTATGGGTTCATTGATTGTTTCCATGTCTGAAAGATTCCCATCACAGCATTTACAGCATTTGTTCTAAATGCTGTGATAGGAATCTTTCGGTCATTGAAACAATCAAAGAACCCACACGTGATGAAGAGACTAAATCAGTTCCTTAATTTTTCCACAAGACGTGCTGAAGCGAACACTGTTCTTCAGTTCCTATTGGATTGCATTTATCCATATGTTGTGGTTTACCAAAAACTTATTTAATCCGTGAACTAGTCTCCCAACACACAAAGCATGTAATAAATTGGTTCACAAAATACTGTCTGACTCTTGTCACACACTTAACTCCGTATTATCTAAACGTATCTCAATGTGTTCTACTCCCTCCAAGTACAAGCACGTTCAAGCGCTCACAAAAGCGTATTACTCTTGCATTGTTCCCTATCGTGCTAGATTTCGTTGCCACCCGGACCGTATTTTGCATGATTTGTTCATAACATTGAGTGAACTGAGCAAACTTAATTCATTTATCCATAATAACAATTTTGTGGTTTATTTGGCAGCTGAATCTGAACCGCATGGTGTAATAAAGCAAACTCTTGACCTAATGTAGGAAATGCTTGACCCCCGTAAATTATGATGCGTTAGGTACGTTCTATGCAGATCCCCAGAAAAACCTCCATAGCATTTGTCTTTTGCTGATACAGGTAACAGGTGGAAGAAGGGTCAAAGTGGTTAGATTGAAACATTGTATGAATATACGAAAACCCCGATCGGCAGGAGGTGGACGCTGGGGTATATAGGTCGCGTTTGGCCCCTCGATTAAGAATCGCGGATTAAGACTAATCGATGATGATAGACACTGAAATGGTGTGGCCGAGTGTTGTAAACAAAGTTACTTGTGCATCCACTCAATTTCTTCGTAAATTAAGTTTACTTTCAAATGCGATGGAAATGTTTATGATAACCAACAAAGAGCACTGGACAGCTGTTTCGTCCTGTTTGGGACTCGTCAACAGTGCGTCGGCCGTGTAGCTCAGGGGTAAGGGTTTGAAGTCCCGACCCGACTGATCACGGTTCCAGTCCTGACAGGGACACAAAAAGTACGCACTGCTGACGAGTCCCAAACAGGACGAAACAGCTGTCCAGTGCTCTTTGTTGGTTATCACAAACATTTCCATCGCATTTAAATGCATACAAACAGTGGGGAATTAACGACCTCCCAAGGAGTGAAACGCACACCCAAGACCATCAAGAGTGCCTGGTGCCTCTGAACAATCGAATGGGCTAATCCAAGCTTGATACTCTAGGTTTACTTTCATTGTTTTTTTTGTAATGATTGTAATGATTGGTTTTGGCTTTCTCCTTCCCCGACTACTCAATCCAAATGAGTAGACAAAATAAAGTAACCGAAAACCACAGCTAGAAAGTGCAAACTCAACAGTTTTATGACCCGAACTGAACTGAATAATGCTTTCACTAGTGTCATAACGACGTCGGATGGTCTGAACGTTATGGATTTTAGAATTATTAGTATTCCAAGTTAAACAAAGTCCAGTACACAAACAATAAACGGACTTATTCATCTTGAGTTCTATCGAAGCCGTGATGAACTGGCATTTTTATCTATTCCAAAAAGGTGTCAATGATGACATTGACGACACTCTCACAATGATACACTACCGGAACATCTCACGTTTGAATGCCGTGTGTCAATTATGGTGATCTAACCAGTTATCTGACGAATTGTGAGGTGGATCCGAAGGTCCCAGGTTAGAGATCGAGATTGCTGTATGCGAACGTGTTTCATCCAACATGATCCAGAACACTTAAGCGGGTAATGGATCGAACCAAGCTGATCGATAATGCAACCGTTTACAGTTCCTACCCCAACGAAGTTTTCGATCGATGTAATTTATGCTGTAATTAATCAGTTTGTGGTTTGAATTCTTCTCCTCTCACAGAGCATTACGGGACATTTTTTATTTGCAGTTGGGGCCGGGCGGTACCCTTCATGGTATTAACTCATTTCGGCCAGTAGACAGAGAACAAATCCTATTCGTACACCGGCGAAAAACAAACCCTAAACTTTCTCGCGATACTATCTTTGATAGCCCTATGAATGCTTCAGCTCTGCCTGTGAGACCTCCATTGCGTCTCCACCGGAGTAATAAAAACAAAAACCAATACGTGAAAAATTGTTCATTTAATTAAATCGAAATACTCTGTTCCTGTCACACTTGCTCATACTCAGAACCTCAGGGTGCGTTTGTAGTCACAGGGTTCACACCTCTTTCCATAAGGAGCATAGCTTAAACCTTATACCCTCACAAAAGCCCCAATATGGTCGGGGGTGGATGTCCTGGACTGTGGCTGGTAACGCTTCCTTTGCAACTCGCGAAATGCTCCTATACAACCGAGCATCTCAAATAGCTTTTGCTGAGGAAGCCACAGTCACTGCCTCTTCGTAGCGGAATTGTTTTCCCACCAAAGTGTGAGTAAGAAAAACCAACATCCAGGTTGAAGAACCATTGGCAGTCTATCTAAGGGAGTTGGCTAAAAACCCCGATTCCAAACCAACGAAGAGGAGGCGTACGAAAGGCACACACTGAAGTTGCACTGATGATGTTGTCTATCCTGGCTACGAAGATTCTGCGAAAAATACTTTCAGCTCGGAGAACGCACCAACAACAACATACGCACCTCGAGCTACAACCATTGCACATTATTTCCAACACATACATACCTTCCTGGTTGTGGCAGTGGTTACTGGCTTGGTTGGCTATCGAGGTGTATTAGGCACCTTGGACCGATGAATTGGACGCTGGTCACTCGAGGGATTGCGGTTTTCACTCAGCACCAAACTGCCTTGAAGGTCAGGCTTCCGTTAGTCGAAGGATCCGGTTGTGCATTCTCTAAGATCATTCACCTGTCTTAGCCTGGACAACCTGGCAGTATTCCGCGCATATGCATATCATGGAACTTTTTTTCTTTCTCTATAGATTGTACTGTGATTTGTTTGGCACATATTCTGTCCTCAGCGGTGTATGATATATATTCTATTAGCAGCATGCCATTAAAATGTAGGATTTTGTGATTTTCAAGATGGCTGCTGGTGCTTCAGTTTTAAAATAACAAAGTCACAGTAGAAAACGAAAAACTAGAATTGATTTATTAAAATGACTCAGACTTAATACAGGTATTGTACTTTCATATCGTTCATGTTTTATTTACCCTTCTCCATTTTTTAGCACTGGAGGCAGTCGCTTTTGCACGGAGTCCACCAATTTGACTGCCAAAAAGAATTAGCCAGTTCCCTCTAATACACCCGCACCATAACCACGGAAGACCAATGTCGAGACAGCTAACTTATCTACGTTTCTGATACAGGGAAAAGTTNGTTTCTGATACAGGGAAAAGTTTCTGATTAAATTAAACTCTCAACTGCTGCACGATAATTGAATGAAGTTGACACTGAAGTTGACCCCTGCGGAAACGGCCGATGTTGACTATTGGATTAGGTGATTTGAGCTTTTTCTTATATACTACTCATGAGCGGCTGATTTGAAATTGCACAAATTCCTGCGGGGGCATACGCCGTGCAAGTCCGCCCCGAAACTACAGTACGATTGCTTCATCGCAAGTAAATTCCCTCCGACCCCTAAAGCGATCTGATTGGATCATATTCCGCAATCTGCAGCGCTTGAAATCTCTCACCCCAACACGAGACTGTCTGATTACCGGCTTGTACCTTTTGTA